CAATGAGTAATGCATCGATGATATGCAAATTAGTGAGGAAGTAGAGAATATTTATTAACCATGCATGTGCGTGATTTCTGGTGCGTCCTGCTTTCTGTCGAAAATGCAATTCTTGTGAGCACGATTGGCAGCGAATTCCACATCGGCAAGGCCAGAGGCCCTTCCATTTTAAGGCGTCCTTTCGCCTTGTCGTTCTTTAGATTTTATGATCCTTTGAAATCAAGGGTAGGTATATATTTTTTTATACACTCTATATATATATATATATATATATATATATATATATATATATATATATATATATATATATATATATATATATATATATATATATCGGATTGATAGGGATGTGCATTTACCTGAAAATACAAGGAGAACTCCGACGTTTCGAGCGAAGACCCTTCTTGGATAATATTCTATCCTTCCTCACGACTCCATGCAGCGAAACTCCTTCGGAAAAAGTTCATAAATAAAACGAGAAAACATTGTACGAAACTATACCGAGCTCTACATTAAATATCGATCCATGAATGATGAGTTGTAAATGAGTCAATTAATTCAACACGCGAACATGCAGTCAAACAATTTTCCCGATATAGATTTAAACTATTACCAAGTGGTCCAATATTGTTCACCACATGCATATAGTGGGCGAAGTTCTTCCTTGTAAGGAGGTCAGTCTATTTAAGAGGAAGGAGGCCTATTTCAGTATTTACAACTTACATAATAATTATGTAAGTTGCAAATACTAAAATAGGTCTCCTTCCTCTTAAATAAATTAAATTTTTGTGTGTGTGTTTTGATGTTATGTACTCAGGTGAATATAATGTTTTTGATGTAGGCCTATGTTTCTGATTGTATATCCACACCGGCAGGCTGAAAAGTTAGCCCGACCACGGTAGGAATCAAACCCGCGACCTTTGGGATACTATAGTCCAATGCTCTGCCAATGAGCTACGCGAGGCCAAGTCTGTTCGAGTGTGTGGTATTTCGGAACGTCTAGTACCTTTGATACCAATGTATTTGTGTGTGTTTTGATGTTATGTACTCAGGTTAATATAATGTTTTTGATATTACTCTGAGTGTATATCCACACCGAGCAAATTAAATTTATTTGCATAAAAACATGAAAAACTCACTAAGTACTATAGCCGTCCTTGAGGAAAAGATACAAAGTGATCACACATGGTTTATACTCTGAAGACTCGTGATTCTGCATGCATGATGAAATTAGGGCATCTTGCTTAATTTTATCAATACAATTTTATTATTGTATTCATTGTTTTAATTCAGTTCCACCCAGAAAATATAAGAACAGATCCGCAGAGTTACTGAATCAGCAGATTGTCTGTCGGAGATTGGTTGAATACTTCAATCCTGTTACCTCAATATCATGCTCTCTGTCATGTATGATTACCATGCAGACATCCACCTACTATTGACTATATATATATTGTATACTGTTCCCAGAGCTGTCTTCGACTCTCACTCACTGTTATAGCTAAAACCGGGAAAAGCATTAGCCAGGTGAGCCACTTGGCTGATGAAAACTAAATTTCGTAAGGCTAGGATTCTAACATTTGTGTTTTAAGAATTAAAGAATTGAAAAAAAAGGAATTTCAACTGAGAAAATCAAGGAAAAAATTTAAGCAAATCTATAGAATTTTGTATATGTCGATACAATACCTCATTTTGTATTTTTTTAATCTTCTTGAATATTTAATGAGAGATATTATTCTGAGCGATTTTAAGAAAAATTTATTAATAGTGCATGCATTTGACGCAAATAGTTAGAAATTTTAATTTGTTTGCTTGCATAAATCTTAACACTATCTAAATTAAATTGTTGGCGACCACTTGCTATAGCTTCCCTCTGTTTGAAACTACCAATAAAAAGCAATATATAATATATAATATATACCTTAATTGTTTATATACGTAATTACGTCGGAAGTATCTCGATCCCAACAAGACTGCACCCATTCCATTCTGCATGATCAATATATATATTGGTTATTACAATATACAAAACAACCAGCGAGATCAAAGTTATTAGAATAGCCAGATACATATATATATATAGTATAGACTGTAAGTTGCATAATAACTCACATGCAGTACTGGCAAATTTAATCTCTTTCAGAGCTCATCGACAAACAATTTTAGATATATTGAGGCGGTGTCGTCAAGTACGATTCATGCACAAAGAGCATTCTTTGTTGACGTTGGAGCGAGTGCGGGCTCTATTTTTGATTGTTTAAAGATGCTTATACAAGTTTGTTGATGTACTTCTAATAGGTTCTTGTAGTCAAGGAAGAACAATCTCAGTGGTTATTATCTCTGGCTTCAGTTTTGATGGTCACAGGGCGGTGCTCAAATTTAGACATTTTACAAGTTATTTATATGCAAACAGGCAAACAGTTTTCAAACTTCTCGCGTGCGGTCCAATATAACTATAAGTTATTATATATTTTAATTGTCAATTTACGGCATTTTTAGCCTGCACTGTTTCTCGTGTGAGAAAGTGCTTTATACTCTGACTCTGCCTAAAATTCCAGTTAATAATTGGAAAAATTATTTACGTTCTAATTCAAGTTAAATTCAAAAACTTAATCGACTAAAATCAAGACGGAATAATTAATAAGATGGTATTTAATTTATTCCATTTCAAAGTCTTCTTCGTTCAAGTTAATATGCAGAAAACGTTGGACTAAAAGATAAGCATAATTATCACTCTATCTAATAATTGTCACACAATATCCGATTTTCTCTTCAGTTCAGGTGTAAAGCAGGAAAAAGTTAACTTAGAGTAACAATCGACTAATGTATATAGTTTCAATTTGAGATCAAGACACTACTTTCTGTACAATAATTTAATAGGCTCATTTATTTTGCTTATATATAAGTGAAAAAATCTTTTTGCATATACTCTATGTTAAACTGCAGGTATGCAGAAATGCTATTGAAATAGAAATATTTTAAGTTCTTTGTAGGTTTGCATGGCCATAAAACATATATAATACTTTTGTTTGTGGAAGCCAACAGATCACGACACTTTTGTATATAAAAGGGCATGTGAATTGAACAAGTCACATATTTATTAGTACTGATGAAGATCCGGGCTTACGGATCGAAAGCTTTGCAGTAATAAATTTACGTGGTGTTTCCACAAACAAAAGTATTATAGAAATATTTAATTTGTCTTTTGGCCGTGATTTTAGTTTTAAAAAGCTGCAGCCAATTTTTAAATGGTATGTAGCTGTAGTTGTTATACAGCTATTTCAATTAAGGTTGTCCACGAGCAAAGCGGAAAAGTCGAATACGAGCGCAAAAGGCTGCTGGGAATCGCTTTGAAAATTCATTAATTTGTTAGCGATTCCCAGCAGCCTTTCGCGCTCGTATTCGACTTTTCCGCTTTGCTCGTGGACAACCTTAATTGAAATAGCAGTATACATGCATTTTCATATCCCGCTAGTTTTAATAGAGTATTATGATTGCATCAAAGAAAATTTTATTCGTGCTCAAAATATGAGGAAATTACATATATAGATATACCAGAAGTTCGTGCAGTGATCGCGTCAATCATTTATTCCTCATATTCTTTTCAATTCCTTATTTAAATTTGCTTTAAGAGCAAGTGGGTGACCAGGACCATGAGTCTTACCCGCAGCCTCCCACAGCATAACTCATAATACTCAACTAACTTTGATGACACTCAACTAACGTTGATGAACGGTTGACAAAAATGGATGTGGAAAGGCAGCTCCGACGATAGCTGGGGACACAGGATGGTCGATTATTCCGCCCATTTCCACATTTAGTGACGTACCGCTCTAGTGGGTGGTAATAAAGCACTTGTCTGCTGGTGTATTACCAAATGTGGAATCAAGGGGACACAAATTTCGCTTTCATCATTTAGCTGCTGCGATTCGATCTACACCACTTGAAAAGATTAAAAGCATTGGACAATTCAAGCGACGACCTCTTGTCATGAGTATATTATTATAGTGACCGCTCCTGCCTGATCCTGACAAGCCTGACGAAGACCATTTGCTCGAATCTCAAAATGTTTTTAATGTTTTCAGCTACCGAGTTCAGACTCAAACTACGGCAGCTTATTTTAGAATACAAGAGACTGAGTGTCTACAATGCGCTGACGATTTTGTATTATAATACTTTTAAAACTGTTCAGGAACCGTATGTATATACTAATATACATGCATAAACAATGACGAAATTTGGTCACCCTTACTTAGCGAACAATTAAGTTAATACTAGTAATGAGTTATACATAGACTTGTAAATTTAACACAGGTTAGGTTCCTAACATTTTTCTAATAGAATTTCTAGAATAGCTCTCGATATTTGTTTAAAATAAATATATAATATAATCAGGTTCCATATAATTCACATCCGTAACCTGCTTTGCTACGGGAAGTATAACTTTAATATATACTTCATTTCACCGTTACTTTTATTATCCTGACAATCTTAGTTTCACATCGTACTTAAAATGTTATTAACTGTGAATTAGAAAGCTATTAAAATTAACGACTAATAAAGAGTCAAACAAGTGGTGAAAGCACTGCAAGTGGCGCAAGTGCTGTTAGCAAAGTGCCTCTTAACTCGAGAACACTGAAACTATATACTAACGCCAGTAACGGTGATTATCGAACATCATTTTCACAAGCTTACCGAGAATAATCTCGACCCCCTCCATCTACTCAAAATGAACTCTTAAATGTTGAACCTCAGAAATGATGATGATAGATCGACGTTCCGACATTTTTCAAGCGCACGTTGCTCATTAATCCCTACCTCCAACGGTTTACGCGTGTGAAAATATCGAGAATTATGGATAACTCCTAAGATTGTGCATGAGGCAAAAGGCCAGTCATATAGATTATAGTGTAGGTTTTTGCACTCGGGCATGTAAGACGATCCTTCCTGCATGTGCTAAAACTTGCTAAGCAGTATCATGCAAAACCTACTATACATAGTCGTGAGTCAAAAGGTCCACAATTGCCAGATTAATTAAGAGAATAGCCGGTTAATTTTGCTGATGATCAGATGACTATATATATTATATAAGTCCTCGAGAATCAAAAGGAAATTTTAAAAATAAAATTTTTCAATTTTCTTAATCCTAATTTAAATTGCTTTAAACTTAATTAAAATCAATTTATTGAATACAGATCAAAATAACTTTGAGAAGAAATATGAAATGCGTCTAATTAATAAAGCTTCACATGCTTCACTTCAAATTGAGAATCAGAATAGTTGATATACAAAATATATAAGTATAGAAAATATTTATTGATGTACTTTATTGTACATTTTGATTGGTATTTAAAAACCCTTATAACGTTCAGGAAATGGAATACAGGTTTTGACTGTATTGATAATGTCTGTAAGATGCATGTGCTGGACTTAAATCACGGAAAGTCTGTAAGATTAAAGACAATTTAATGCAAGATCGTTTGAATAAAGGATTTATTTTCTTATTGTTTATTACAATGAAAGTCAATTTTAGGGTAGGAAATGATTGTCCTAATTGCTAGAAATCTCTTTGCCGACAATAGACAAGCTCATGCAATGTACAAATCTTAAGAAATCCTATAGTTTTTGGCTTATGGTATCATGTATAACAAAAGTTATCGACACGTTGATTCAGTGTTGTATATTACTTTGTATAGCCTTATAATTTGTATTCTGTTGTTATTATAACTATTGAAATATGACATCTCTCTAAATATAGCGTTATTTTATTGTTTGGCGATGTTTTTTCGTAAACCGGTAATGTTTCTATAAAACACCATGTGCGTGTGGTAGCATACGGAAATGGGGGATCGAGGGCGTAAAATAGCCTTTTTTGTTCAAAATGAATGTTACAACACGCCTCCCGCACGGATCAAAGTTTAGCTGCCGAGGTACCACACTGGACGTTGAGTATAAAAGCCTGGTCTGCTCAGCTAGCAAAGCACAACTCAAAGGTTCAAGCAAGTCAAACAACAGTTGCAGTAAAGAACTAAAGAGATCAATTGAAAGTCAGGTTTCATCGTTTTGTTATCATGGGGGTCATCAAGTTGATTTCCATTGCTGTATTGGTGGTGTTTACAACTCCATCACAATCCGCAGGTATGCTTTGTCACTGACAAACACAATTTCATTCGTTAGTGTAGGTTTTTCGACATAGGAAACATCATAATATAACTGCGGTTTGCGCTTCACGATTTCACCGAAAGATCAAGGGAACATCCGATGATTAAACCTCTTTTACGATTCACATGATATTTTTTTTGTATCAGAAATTAAATATGAACGTGTTTCATATTACACACACCAATTGCATATTATATATTTTACCTAGATTTTTACTAGTAGTTTTCAGTCTCTGATTGGTCAACTGCATGTCATATTATAACCACATGCATGCATTGACGTTTCTTTTGTACCATTTTTATAAACAGCCCATGCAATTAAATTTTCTTGGTGCACACGCAACATTTCGTTCTGTTTTGAACTTTGTCTATACCTATATACGTTAAAGAATAAATGCTGATGCCAATATGATTTCTGCGTACGTTCTGAATATGTAGTATAGTGTTGTAACAGCCAACAGTAGTTTACTTGTGGTTGGCAGCCGTTACAAAACTTGTACACAGAATGACAGCGAACAGCTTTGGATTTCGTATAGATAAACAAGAACTTGAATACTAAGATATTTCAATATTTTTTCTCTATTTAGATCTGTTTCGACATTGCATCTTCAGCGAGATTGCTCGTACCGATGCCATCATCTTTAAGTTCAAGACGACTGAAACATCGTCTGTTTTTAGCTTCATCGTTAACGAACAACTTCACAAAAACACACTTGTTCTCGCTGACTCCACCAAAGGAACAATTAAGCTGGCCAGGTCTCTTCTAAATATTCTCACATGGAGAACGGATGACACGTCAAGGATCACTGCGGTTTTGACCCAGACGAAAGGCGGTGCTGTTTTAAACAAAATCACGATCGAGTTTATCATTCTGAAGGAAGGATGGGCTGATACTCTTCTTCCAGGTCTTATCGCTAGCGTTCCGACATTAGCAAAAGCAAGCAATCCATTCCGACGAACAACAGCAAATTTTCCTTTTTACAAAAAACTCCATAGTATCTTGATGCGAGGGACAAAACGATCCACAGTGACCTCGTTGGCTGAATGCAAATTCACTGGTGCTTACCAGCAACTCGTAAAGTTAATCCTTAAAAAACTGGCAGGTAGCTAATAATTTGGTACTTTAGAATAACTAAAGAATGTTATTGTTATATTCATTGTTAGCTTTGACTTTAGGCTCTCTGTGATTGACTATTGTCGTTTCTCCTAGAGGCGAGGTTGTCTCTCACACCCTAGCCATTTTGTTTCATACATATTTGTGTGTCATGTTTTAATGATCACAAACATCGGTTGTAACTGTCAATATTTTTAGAGCGCTATCAAGCATTAGCAGATTACTGGTTTAGATAGAAATATTTTTTTATGATTATGGGGTGAATTAATCTGGGAAATAAAGTGATCAGCAATAATAATATGATATGTAATAAATAAAGCATGAGGGGCCGTGTTGTATCAGATATACAAACTCGAGCCGAAGGCGAGAGGTTGTATGTCTGATAGCCTACAATACGGACGCAAAATTATACAACAATTTAAAATAAATTAGTGATATTTAGTGAGAAAATTAAACTTAAGGTTGATGTAAATCAGCATGATTCTGTATCAGATATACAAACTCCTTAACGCTGATGATTTCTTTTGTGTGTTTTTTTTCATGAATTATTAATGAGTTTCACAAATACCAATACAGGCTTGCCATTTGGCCAAGTATTAATATCAAATAAACGACGTATTACTTCCTATATCTCTTAACAAGAAAACCAGTCAATATTTTCATGCGTATTAAACTTCATGCGTCTTTTTTTTCAGTAAATCTTCTTCTCGCGAAGATTCATGTCGGACCACAAGGAATTCTAACTCCCGAAAAACTACAGGAATTGATTGAAGCAACCGGCTGCATACCAGAGATCGAAAACCCCGATTGCCCTCCGGAAACGATCAAATATCGTACTATAGATGGTACTTGCAATAACCGACGTATTGGATCCACTACGAATGGAGCCGCCGAAACCGGTTTTCAACGATTTCTACCTGCGTTGTACTTTGGACCAGAAGGCCTGGATGGACCTGCTCGAGATCAACCGAACGCACCGGACCTACCAAATCCATCCCTAGTTACATCCGAATATATTGTAATTCAAAGTATAAATCAACTAAACCGTGATGGTATTAAACATATGTTTATGCAATGGGGACAATTTCTCGATCACGATCAGACATTGGCACCAGAATCCGAGAATGGTGATATATGTGAAGATGTACCGTAAGTATCCGATCCGTCATTTTGTAGCAATAAAAACTACGTGACCTCATACATATGCAATGTGCAATTAAATTAAATGTTAGGGATAATTTAAGTTTGACGTAAGTTAAGATTAAAGTTTGGGATAACATTGAGATCAGGATGGAAGAATTAGTAACCATAAAGATTATGTGACGTCATACATGCATATCGATTTCTCAGTCAAGATTTTCTTTGTTTTTTTAAACAAAGAAACATGGTGCTAATTTTGTCTACTGTCCAAGATTAACTGAATTTTAGGAAACAAAAACAGTTCTATCCTCATTCTTCTAGCGAAATAGGGTTTTGATTCTGATCAAGATCAAAGACGGATATAACATAAGACGATCATTCAAAAATCAAAATACTCTTTAGCATTTACATATAATTAACATATCCGCAAATCCAGATGTCTGCACGAACGTACCCCGCATCTCTGCATGTTCCAGCTAACCACACTCTGTGCCTTTTCAATTAACTAGATGTAATGGCAGCCCCGAAGATGATGTAGAGCCGTGTTTTCCTATCCTACCTGCCGGAGGAAGACCATGTATCAGATTGATAAGATCAGCAGCGAGATGTCCAATCAATGGCTTTAAACTTCTACCACGAGAACAGATCAACGTGAATACAGCGTATATTGACGGTTCCATGATTTATGGTTCGTCTGAATCAGTAGCAAACGCAGTTCGAGACCTCTCCAGTAAGTACATTTGTAAACATACAAAATAGTTTTATTGATAATTCGGTTCATAAACCCATTTCTTGTCTATTGGTGGGCAGGAGGGGGACCACACGGTCCAATATTTTTTCAGGAAGTTACTGCAAAACAGCAGTTAACTTTTTGACATCTGATAGGAGGGGGGAGGGGGTGATAAAAGTAACTCGTGCTTTTATCCTAGCTCAAATGTGATATGAAATGTCATGTTTCGCAGAATTTTTATGCTGAATTATGTTTTGTTTCTTGTCTCTTCTGTTGTTCTTGAGTTGACTGACCATCAAATTGAGTTCAAGCAAGAGAGTCAATAAACAGAACTAAATCCTAGAGAAGTTCATTCTAGAGGTCAAACTCAAAACTTATTATTTTACAGGTGATTATGGATTACTGCAAACGTCAGGTGCAGACCTTTTACCGATTGATAACAGTCAACTGGGCGAACCAAATTCCTTGTGCGAAAATCTTGGATCATGTTTTCTTGCTGGAGATACTAGAGTGAACGAGCAAGCAGCATTGGCAGCAATGCATACGCTTTGGGTGCGTGAACACAACAAAATTGCGACCGGACTTAGAAATCAGAACAGACATTGGGACGGCGAAAGAATCTACCAAGAAACAAGAAGGATTGTGGGCGCTCTAGTTCAGCAGATCACATACGAGGAATGGCTACCGATTGCTATTGGTCGAGATGCTTTAAGTCCTTATAGAGGCTACAGGCGAAACGTGAATTCTGGAATAAGCAATGCTTATGCAACAGCCGCGTTCCGTTTGGGCCACAGTTTGGTTAGACCTAAGTTTGAATACCTTGGAAGCAATTTTCAACCTTTCCCGTTTTCACCGATTCCTTTGAACCGTGTATTCTTTAATAACACACAGTCGCAGGTAAATGGCGTCGATGGTTGGATTATAGGCATGCTTGGAAATGTCTCTCAAGAAATGGACAATGAGATGGCTATTGGGCTAACAGATAACCTTTTCGAACGGCCCAATATTGACAGAATAGGTCTCAATTTAGCAGCTTTGAATATGCAACGTGGTCGTGAACATGGCTTACCATTCTATAGTGCCTTCCTAGCTGAATGTCAACGGCGTTTCCCAGGCCTGTATCCAGTTGATGTCAGCGACGTAACAAGTTTTGATCAAATTCGCGTGCTCTTCCCGCCTCAGGTGTTTGAAAGCATTAAGAGTGTTTACAACAATAAACCTCAGAACACCGATCTCTTTCCAGCTGGCATTGGCGAACTCCCTACAAATAGAGAATTCGGCCGACCACGAAGACGGTTTCAAGACGACGGAATACTACCAGATCCGATCCTTGGACCAACTTTCACTTGTCTGCTTATTGACCAGTTTGAACGTGCTCGTGATGGTGATAGATTCTTTTACCGTAGAAGAATACATTTCTCGCGCAGGCAACGACGGTCTATATACAGCAGAAAATTCTCAGATGTAATCTGCAATAACATAAATGTTGTATCCGTTCCGAAACAAGCTTTCCTGCCTAGTGCTACGCGTGTCTGTCCAACCGCCGGCAGACCTATGAACCTAAGCCCATGGAGAGGTAAGTTTATATGTCCATGAAAAGCAGTTCAGAAACTAGATGTAAGTGAGGAAGCCAGCATGACTTTTTCAGTTAATTTATTTTGGCAACTATCCATATTTCTAATTCACTATTCCGACGATTGGGGCAAACATCAGTAAAATTGAAGTTGAATAGAAACTGAGAGATTTATTTAGAATTGATTTATTTTCTATAGAAACTGTTACAAGTTGTGTTCAGCGTCCTTGTCGTAATAATGGAATATGTCGTGAGTTTACTTGGGGACGTCGTACCAATGTTCGTTGCCGATGCCCAACAGGATTTAATGGCGTATTCTGCGAAAACAGTAAGTTTTCATTTGTTTGCTTTCCTTGTTTGAGCTTTAAAGCTCAGCAAAATATTGACTGAAAACATAGTACCTGAGTTCGAACAATACCCTTCTCATCGAATTTCTTTATATATAGCGTAATTGCCAGAGCATGAAGCTATAGCTGTCTGAAGGCCCATGCACGACTCAAGAACTTTTCTAGTCCATGTCAACTTTAACAGTTTGTAAATACAAACTACGATGCTGCAAACATATAAATTGCATTTTATTTCATTTATACGAAGTTAGTACATACTCAAAAAACGTAGTTTACATGAATAACTTTCTTTTGGAAAATTGTATGCCAATAGAACTTGGTCCTTTATTTCATACAAAAATTTTAACATAATTTCCTGAACATAATTTCTTCGTGTAAATTGAAAGAGTTTGGAAACGAGATTATGTCGGATTACTTGTCACAAAGTACCTGACAGAAAAACATAGGGCAAGAACATCATGCTGTATGCCTTGAAAAATCGCTCGAGTGCAGATTTATAAATCACGTCCATACATAGCATAACGATCCCGCCACAAATTCAGGGTCAATCGATATACAGTCATTGAAATTTTATATATGCGAATGAAATTTGCTACGATTTTATGTTGAGACGACCTCACCGATCACCGTGCACAAATATATGGAAAGAAATGAATATTTCAACAGCACGGTTGAGAAATTAGACGAGATAACGCCAGAAATGATTTTTCTTTACCGTGCATGCACAAATTTGCATAAACATGAAAAAAGATAAACAAAGACGTTGACCGTTCCACACCATATCTTCATCGACTCTTGCCATAGAAAATTAATTATAAAACATCATTAATTACCCTTAGAAGTCACATTTAATTATCATTTTAAATTATTTTCACTCAACGAAAACCTTATTTTTTTGTTCTGTTTAGGAGTATAGTAGCCTGATTTGTTGAGTGGGATTAAGCAAGTGATTTTGTATTTAATATTATGTACACGTAATTAATTAATTAAGCTGGAACTTAAAGCTAATTGTAAATGATAATTTTGAAATTTCGAGACTGGATCTCGTATGTAATCGTAGTCTAGTGATGAACTATTTCTTAAATATACTTTGATATTTATTTTTGTAATTTTGTAATTCAGTTTTATTTCAATAAATTGTTTCTGTTAAATTCAGACATCGTGGCGCTTATTTTTATGAAACACCTTGAAATGATGAAGAATGGCGTAAACAATTATTCACAGCTCGCATTTTGTATTTTGGTGTTATGACGTCACTGGTTGCGCTGAACATGGCAGCGAAAAGGCCGGAAAGTTTAATATCGAAGAAATGATTCAGCGACATTAGATGACATTTTATACATTTAGTAAGTGTACCTAGGCATTTTCAAACTTTATGCGGTGGTCTCAATGTCTAATTCCTTGCTTCTAACAAAAAAGAAAAGAATTTTTGTTATTCCATTTATTATTATCGATCGTTTCTGTAGGTGCCGTGGCAAAATAGAAAGTGAGAGACATATTAACTAGTGTGTTGCTATGACAAACCACACGAACGCTCCGAAATGTTTGCTTAGGTGCACCTACTAACGGCACCAAATTTCCTTTAATTTCGTTGAATCATGTCTGAGATTCTTGGTCATAACACAAACTACAAAATGCCTGATAACTTTGGGAACGAGATAAGTTGTGTGAATATAAATTGTATGTAAATAAGGAAATTCTTCATCATTCTCAAGGTGCATAACAAATTAAAGGGGGTGGGGATTTCGTGTCATGTGCACTTTAATTGTAAGCAGGTCTTCTGAGCACGTATAAATTTGGAGCCAGTGCAAATTTTATCCGTCCCGTGCCAAAAATTGAGGTGTAGTTTTAACACAGTCCAAGGTAAAACGATAAATATGGTCAACAAGCTTGAAGTTTTGAGCCAAAACGATTATAAAACATCTAACCAGGAACGAAACAATACTCCATATAAGCATTACTGAAATTCCCCCTGTTTGTACATGGGGCTTATGCGTACTCCCGTGCATTCAGGTCTAAAAATATACTTAATATTATACCGATCCCCATTTTTGCTCGCCGCGGTGGGGAAAATGTCTGCCAAAATAATAGGAAAGTGTTTACCATAAGGAAACGGCTAAAGGTCTAAGCTTGGGATTTTCAGCGCATTTTCCTTGTGACGACATACTGAGTTTACACTCTCATAATTTTCTTTATTTTCTGCCAGAGCTTTGTAAAGACATTTCCAGTCTTCAAGTACAAATCAATACGCAAGTATTGACCTTGTGCCTGTCTCTTTCACAGGCCATGGGAAGATCACACACAAATTCTGCAGAGCCTGCGTAATCTTGTAAAAAGTTACTTGTGATGTTACTCTGAGTACATGTATATCCACACCGGGCGAGCTTGAAAAATGTGCCCGGCCACGGTGGGAATCGAACCTACGACCTTTGGAATACTAGCCCAAAATACTAGTTTGGGCTAGTATTCCAAAGGTCGTAGGTTCAATTCCCACCGTGGCCGGGCACATTTTTCAAGCTCGCCCGGTGTGGATAGTAACATCACAATCATCACATTCACCTAAGTACACAACACCAACACAGAAAAAAATGTAAAAAGTTGTCGCCATTTTGCCTTTTGGCAACAAAATATACAATTAACTAGTATATATAATGAACTATTATATATTATTAACAAAATCTTGATATTTACCCATAACCTAATACGGCAGTACGCTAGTATACATACAGCTATTTCAATTAAGGTTGTCCCCGAGCAAAGCGAAGTCGAATACGAGCGCGAAAGGCTGCTGGGAATCGCTAACAAATTAATGAGCAAAGCATGGGGGACAACCTTAATTGAAATAGTTGTATGTATAGACATGAACTTGTGGTTAGAGCCCGACAACTGACCTCTGTAGCTCATTTGTTTAGAGCGCTGCACCAGAATCGAAGAACCGCAGGTTCGAATCGTGCCAGGGACCTCTGGTTGCATTTTTCGCAGTCTAATAATTGTTAAATACCACTCGATAATTTCCATCTACAAGACCTTTCATATATTATTAATTAGCGATCACAATACAACTTTCAGCCAAAATCGGATCTGATTGATCAATTGTATTTCTCCTTCGCAACGCATGGCAACCATGGAAATTCAATGTAGTATTTATATATTTTACAATTTATGAGCAAAAATGCTTTTTATGACTTTTATATTTTAATTTGAGCTTCTTCAGCTTTCTGCTGACTTTTTGCAATAGTTTCAGGCCTTTTAGTTCCTATGCAAGTAAACAATTAGCATTCAAGATTACTTCAAAACTTGTTATATTTACTCCATGTGCAGGATGGGATTGGACGCCATTTTGTTTACAAAACCCTGCAGGCCATCTAAGGTATGATGGCCTGTGGAGAAGCAAGACTTTTTGCCCCAGGGTGGACTGTGTTTGGACTCATACTAGGAAGTAGCATCGTCACCATAAGTAGCATAGCATCGTCACCATAAAATAAGTGCGCAAATTAAATCGTATTTTTGGTTTATTCATACATACCCATGTGATATATATTTTAATTAAAGTGTTGTTATAATATTAATAATCAAAAATGTCTTCTTCATCATCGTCCTGAACAATTTCTGTTGGAATTTTTTAAGGCTCCCACATAATATTCCGCCAGAAATGCCTGCATTTTCCGGAAAATTCCCAAACTTGCTTTGTTTTGCACGACAGCCAATGAAATGGGAATCTCCAGGCTTCCTTGTGGTAACGGAGATAGATGAAATTTAATGTCACGTCCAGTCGCTTTCATATTGCCCCCATTTATAAAGAACTTGCAAAATCTCTGGAGGCAAATGTCCAACCAGCGACAACGGTTTAATATTGCCTCTGATTTTAATGGACAGACCAATGGCTGCATATGGGTCGAATATATTACCCGGTTATGGCTTCACTATACCAAGTGCAGGTTGATTCGTGGAGCCCAGATTTTTCTGTATTCATGAAAACCGCGTGATGCGCAGGCCAGAGATAACGACATCATTTTGGGGCTCTGTTTCACAAAATCAGAATAATCGTTTTTTGAATTGTAATTGGTTTCTTTTGTTACGACTTCTTGAATGACGCACTCAGATGCATACGTTTCTTTGTCGTTGCAGTCTTTACATAAAGCAACACTCGAACTACTTTTCCATCCGGGATACTCTTCAAAGGACGAGGCTGAACACTCGAATCCTCGGTTACATACGAATGACTGTTGCATTTAAAGACATGTGTATTTTGTCAAATTATCGCACACGACGCAAATGCCTTCCATTTTTCCTACACAATAGTCAGTGCGTTCGCCCTAGGTGTTACATATTACGTTTCCATGACAGTACTCAGTCGCAACAAGACTACACAAGGCAAGATATCATTCTTCTCAAGGAAGCTGACGGTACTTCTATAACTAGAGGGAGCTGTTCCATTATTTTCCGAACAAAACCACTGAGCACTTTGAGACTAATCAGCATTCAGGAAAAGACTAATCTAATTCAGGAAAACTTTAACGACGCATCATAACAAACGGTTTTTGAACTACTGTACAACTTATTCTACTTCCTTAACTAATGAGCAAACACGTCAAACATTTCCGTTTTTCCGTTGCGTCATCAAGCAATAACCTAAATGCAGCCGTAGAAAATGCAGTTTAACAACAATTGCTTCTTGATGCTCCAGAACCAAAGAAGAAGAGGGGCAAATGAGCAATATGGAGAATACGAAGGCTTGGGATAAGTATCATTGTGAAATAATAATGTGATATATAGTATCCGGTGTTCCATCAAATTTCCTGTGTGTTTTATGTCAGTATTGTATTCTGGATTGAAAAATATTTCTTTTAGGATAGTGAATGTTTCAAGAGAACTAGTAACAGTTTCCAATATTCTTCTTCATATTTAAATAATGATTTGGTTTTCGCCGGTGTGGCAATAAACAATACAACCAAGATATAGCCGTTCTCAAAATTAAAATGTCCATAATACATGTCATATTCTTGTTGGTAGAAGTTGACAACCGTGATAAATTATAAAACAATATTTTAATGATGACCTTGTTTACAGGATATGTCTACTGACAGTCTACGAAATTAGAAAAGTTATGCGCCTGTGGAGGTTCCGTTGAACTTAGCCTTCAGCCTTCTCCATATAGCCTATATAAGCGTACAAAATTTGGAAGTTATAGAAGAAACAGAATAGCATGTTAAAATCTTACCAGTTTAAAGCTTTCAACTGTCTTGGTGACCTAATAGCCTTAGTTCATAGATATAGGAGATCTAGATTGCTAACGCATACCTAGCACAGGCTGATAAATCCAAGATGGCGGTACAACAGGGCAAAAAGACTATAAATTCTATTACGAAAATCAGGATTTTTGCATTTTTTGCTGTCGCATTGGTTTGAAACTTATTCGGTCAAATTTTATGGTAAAGAGAAACTTACCGCGAAGATTTTGAGCATATATATGATTGAATTGGATGAAAACTCGCAAACATCGATAAAAGTTCGTGTATAGTACTGATATAGTACTATATATGTAACTTGTACAGTTTTGCTTTAATTTTTGCTCACTATTTGCATAAAAAGCAAATTACAACAGACCATAGATGATAGACCCTCATCCAGTGCTCTCATCAGTTTACTTCTCTAACAAGCAAGGAGGGTACATAACAGTTCATTTTTCATAATTATGAGGACAGAGCAGATGATGATGAGAGATGCAAGTATAAAACACCATTCACAAGGCTAGATGTTAACATAGCACAGTATTTCTGGCAATAAAACGCTCCAACTGACCAACTGACCATTTCACACGAACTTTTATCGCTGGATAATTTTGCGATTTTTCATCCAATTCAATCATATATATGCTCAAAATCTCCGCGGTAAGTTTCTCTTTACCAT